GTTGTACCAGGGGCGGCGTCGGCTGGCGGGGTGCTGGCAGGCTTGCACCTGGCCCGGGCACCGTAGCCAGCCCATGCCCCTTTAAGGGCTCCGGGGCTGGGAGGGGGGCATACGAGTTTCCCTGGTGGTGCCCAGAGTGACACAGCCCTTAATTCGAACTAGTAAGTTCGAACTAGGCTTAGTCCTCGTACAATGAGGTTTACCTAGTTCGAACTAAGCGCTCCGCTAGTTCGAATTAAGTTCGAACTCGCGGAGCGCTAGTGTAGCGCCTAGGAAAGTCCATGTGTCAGTGTCTGCATGAGTCTGTCTGTCTGTCTGCTTGCCGGTGTGTCTATGTGTCTGTCAGTTTGTTTAAGAATTCCTCCTAACTGGTATGAGCTAGAACCACCAAATTTGGTGTGCAGCTTCCTCTGATCATGCCTTAAATTAAGATAAGGGTTTGGTTGTGCTAGGAAAATGGGATGTGCCTGGAATGGGATTGCTTCTCATAAAACCATACAGAAAAGAGAGAGATTCAGCAGGCAAGTGAAAGGGGCTGGCTGAGGGTTTGCCCCCTCTCCCATCTGAGACTTCCGCAGCCCCGAGCCTCCCACCACAAGGTACCATTTAGGGAGGGTGGAAGAGGTGTAGCTCCTGCCTCCCCCGCCTGCCCCCCCATTTATATGAGGGCACACAAAACCATACAGAAAAGAGACAGAATCACCAGGCAGGTGACAGCAGTTGACTGGAATCATGTCCCCATCCAGGACTGCTCCAGCCCCAAGCCTGGGTAAATCTTCTAGGTGCCACATAAACTGTTAGATTTCTTCTGTGTGCATCTGTTCCAAGTGTTTTCCCCTGAGGGACCCTTTGTCCCTTAATCTTGATATCTCAATAAAAGATTAAACCTCTTTTACACTCCTGGTTTGCAGCAAACAGGAATTGTGGCATCAGAACCCATCAGCAAAAATGCCTGTGCATCTGTTTGCAGTGTTCCCACATTAGGGTTAGCCACAAAAGAGAGCAGCTTTCCTATGTAGGCTCCCCAGAAACAGCTTCTCCGTTATAGCATGATGAAAGCAAGGCGGATGTCCTGTGCTAATGTGCCTTCCTAGTTCTTCTTTTCCCAAATGGCATGACTGTCGAGGAAAAGTATTCAAACCTGAGGACTCTGAAGGCATATTCCCAAACTGGTGGCCTGCTTGCATCTCTAAGGAATTCTGCAGAAAACAGTGCCAACCAACAAATAGCAGGTAGACATAACAAAATGCCATTTCCTGGAATAAATTACATATAGGGAGAAGACCCATTTGAACATTTAAATGGTGAAACATTATGATATTTAAACTGGGCATCCAATGAGCCAAATAATGATGGAGGAATAGAGAACTGTGTAGAAATGCATTCAAGTGGCAAGTGGAACGACAAATCCTGTGCAGAAAACTGGTTAATAATTTGTGACTATTAATCTACCTCCCCTTTTGATTATTTGTCACTTGGTACAAATGTGCATACAGCTTCACATTTTGTAATTAATCAAGTCACAATAGCCCTACACAATGGGCATTATACCACATCAGTAATGTAAAACATGCAGCTGTACAGAATCTTGGTAAAATGTCCATACTGTGTGATAAAGCTATGGTCCAATCAAATAATTATGCAGCACTGCTTAGTGTACTGATCTGGCTAAAACTACAAATCCTGTGAAATGGTTCATGCCCAGTCATTTTCACATTGTCATCTTTCCATACCAGGAACATAAGAACACCCCGACAGGGTCAGACCAAAGGTCCATCTAGCCCAGCATCCTGACTTCTAACAGTGACCCCATGTGCCTGAGAGGTAATAAACAGAATAGATAACCATTAAGTGATTCATCCCCATCACCTATTCCCAGCTTCCAGCAAACAGAGGCTAGGGATCGATACCATCAATGTTCAACCCAGTGAATAGCCATTGAGAGACCTATCCTCCATGTACTTACCTATTTGTTTTTGAACCTGTAATAATCTTGGCTTTCACAACATCCCCTGGCAATGAGTTCCACAGGTTAACTGAATCTTCTTCTTCTTCTTCTGTTGTTATCAGGGGATATTTTGGCCTTTAAGTTTAGAGAGTTTATCTTGCCCCTCACAACGCCTGTGCCAAAATTTTCCTGTTAGGGCTGTTTCTTTTCACGAGCTCCTCTGGTTCAGGGGACAACGAAACTGTTCATAAACTCAGGTCACATGTCTTACATGTGTCCACACATTTTGAACTGATAGGAAGGAAATGTTTTATTGGTTGTGGCAGAAATTAAGCATTTAGAATTTTTGTTCCAGACTGTGCTTTAGCTAAATTTTTAAATAAGGGGGGGAAATTGGGCTCTAACTAATTTTGTTTGACTCAAACCTAATGTTTTTCCCTTTCTCTTTTCATTTTGGTAAGAAAAACAAAACAAGTTTAGTTGTGGTTTGACCCTCCATTTGAAAAAAATCAGCGATTCGCTCAGCCCTTCACGTGTCTCCCTAATACCTCTCCCCAGTCTGTCTTCTCTCCCAATGAGCCAAGTGGCTGGCCAGCAACAGACAACCTGAGCTGCCAGCTGAGGGACTCCTCCCTTCTCCCCTGGCCTGAGAGAACATTAGGATGCAGAATCTAGACTGTGGGAAAAGGACATGACTCTGTTATTGAAATTCATGGCTTGCTGGGGAGAGAAATGTAGACTAAGGAGGTACATGGAGACCGTGGGCCAGGCTCTGTGAAGTTGGCAGAAGAGTCATAAGCAATGCCACGGCCAGTCACTCCTGTGTCCCAGCATAGTGTCTTATCCCAGTGGCTTTGATTCATTAACAAAGATGCCCCTGGCTATGTCAGCCCCTCCCCATTTCACCTGCCAACATCTGTTCCCCACCACCAGTGCTCCAATCCACCCCACCCTATAAGATGCCCTCTTCTCTCACTACCAATGAGAGCTCCAGCCCCCTTCCACACTACCAGTGAGTGACAGACCCTTAGAAAGCACACAGCAGTGAAGACATTCATGTAAAAGGACCTATAACAAAAGGTTTTTAGCAAGGCAAGTATTTCCCACAGCGAGTTAAGACCCCACTGCGGGGAATGCCTGCCATAGCTGGATGTTGAGTAGAGCGTCAGAGAAGGACGTTGTGTACGCCTTGATTTCCTTACTCAAAAGCAGATGAATTTACAAGAATGGGGGGGAGGGAGTGTTCAGGATAGAAATGTGCAGCAGGCAGAGGGAGGGTGTTTTTAAATTACACTGTAACACAGTCGGGGCTATATGAGGCAAAGCAGACAACGGCAAATATTTTCATACAAACTACCTCCTCAGTGGTGCAACCCTTAGTGTTGTGCAAGGACAGTGCTATCTAGCGCATGTCAAAATAAATCTGTTTGCACTGCCTCAGTTAGCAAGTCTAACCTACTTTTGTTTTCTTATCCAGGGAGAAATCCACCTGCTTTGTTAAGGTTTCTTGTATGCTGCATTCGGTTACATTAGTCAGATAAGCTGGCAGAGCGTCATATCACTTCATTGGGTACTGGGCAAATAAAGGTAGGTTTTGAATAAGTGGGTATGAATGGATGGGGTGCCAGGGCAGGCTAGCTGCAAAACATGTTGGGTCTCAAGCACTGACAGTTTTGAGCAGGCAAACACCAAAGGGTCTAGCAGTGAGGGAGGATTAGGACTAGCAGTGAGAGAGAGAGAGAGAGAGAAATATTTTTTTATTTTGAAACTGTCCTCATTATGGACTCCCTCGCTGCTCCTGAAAGAATGGGCTCCAATGTGTTTTTCCTTCAGCGCTCACTTTTCTTATTGCTCTTAATTTCTCACTGTTTCCTTCTTGGGAGATGAAGGCAGGAGTGCATAGGAAGCCAATGAAGGTTTGAGGGGATCATATTTTTGTTGGAAGATGATCATACTGTCATAGGTGATTCTGGGGACGCAGTTCCCTTCTGTTGTGGGAGTGCAGAGAAAATGGCCACCAGACTGAGCGATGCTTCCGGACTCTACTCCAAGCTCTGTGAGAGAAGCATCCAGTCTGGACTGGGCACAGTACTTACCCATTCCATTTCAAAGGCTGTGTAATACATTGTTGTCTACCAGTTATAACAGGAGACTGGGAGTCAGGACTCCTTACCTCTCTTCCCAACTCCAGAGCAACTCCTCGATTGCATTGTGAGCTCTGGGGGTGAGTGCCAAGGAGCTTATGTCTCCAGAAAAAGCTTTGTTTCTAGCTCTGTGGAAGGACTGTGCATTTGGACAAATAAAATATGGGAATCAAGCTAAGGGTTGGATAACTTTCTGTGACATTAAAAAGAAAGAGCACTTAAATCCTGGACTCTCTGAAGTTAATGGCAAAAGTTCTAATGGCCTTGATTCTCCTTTCTCTCACACAAGTTTTATATTAATCAGACCTTGAGTTTACACTGACTTGCAGGTGTCAGAGGAGACTCACTGGCTTTCAGTATTTAGCCCAAAGGATCTAAAAGTTGAAATAAAGTGGTATTCAGGGCAGTTCACTGTTTATTTCAGTTCTAGTCTAAATACTTTAATTCCCAGACCTGATTGCTTCAAATTAGAGACTCGTAAATCAAGCTCAATTAGTTAGTACCTTTTGCAGGGAATTATCCACACAATGACTCCTCTTATTGTCATCACTTTGATATGTGCCCGTGGAATCACCGCGCGTGCAATCCAAGAATACTTGAGGCGTAATTATGAGACCGCAATAGACCTTGTTTACATGCAAAACTCAATTGCTCGTCAAGTAATAATCGTGAAGCAACCAGGCAGGAGATAAGTGAAAACAATGACTCAAACTCATATTTTATGTTTTATTTGCATAGGGCTTAGTGATGAGCTGCTATGTGGAAGGAAAAAAACTTGATCGGATATACTTCACCCCTGATATGTGTGGAGCTGTAATTACATGTTTAGACACAATAGCTGGTTGCTTTAGATTCTGGATTTGGGTTTGAGCAGTCCCAGGTTCAAATTTCAGATGAGTCCTTCAGGAGAACAAAGCCATTTAAATTGAGACAGAATAAAACACTAGTAAGCTCATGAATTGGCAGGAGAATGGACTGGAAGGCTATTCTAATAAATGGCTCCCTTTTTCACATCTGTGGTCTGCTATAGACTTCATCATGTAGTCGACAACAGATTTCTGACTGAACTTGGAGGCCCCCAGATTTCCTATCTTGTAGCTCAGATCTGGGCTTCTTTGAACTACATGTCCAAATCTTCCCCAGTCACTGCTCACAATATGAATCAAAAAGGCTCAAATAGATGTCAGAAAACTATCCTCACTACTACGCTTCCATCAGTCTTTTTACAGCTCTTTTGTCTTAGGTACGTCTACACTGCAACATTATTTCGAAATAACTAGCTTTATCTGGAAATAACTTAATCCACGTCTCCAGATCAGGCAGTTATTTTGAAATAGAGTCAAAATACTGTCAAGCTGGAGGACGTCTTACTCTGACTCCTGTAACCCTCATTGTACGAGGAGTAAGGGAAATCGGAGGAAGGGTTCAATGAGTTAGTACCTTTTGCAGGGAATTATCCACACAAAGGGAGGAAGGGTGCTCTGTTTCAAAATAAGTGCTGTATAGATGCTCCCTATTTCGAAATAAACTACACCATTGACGTAGCTCAATTTGTGTTGCTTATTTGGAGTTAAGCCCTGCAGTGTAGATGCACCCTTTGAAGTAAAAAGATCTTAGTGCAACGTTGTAAGAATCTTGACTGTGGAGGTGTATCTCCTACACATTGACAAAGGACAGCCTTCCTACAGCGGCTTATGCAATAATTCTCTTTTTATTAGCCATAGATCAACAGGCTTGACAATGCATCTCCGTCAGCTTTTGAAAGCTCTGGCGCTGGCCATGGCGTTGGTGATGGCCTCAGGTGTGGATGTAAACAAACATGAAGAGAAAATGAGCACATGCCCCGTCATTCAGTGTTGTGCGCCTGGAACCAATGGTTTACCAGGCAGAGATGGAAGAGATGGGAGAGAAGGTCCCAAAGGAGAAAAGGGAGACCAAGGTACAGTGCTATAATCATTGACCAAGACTATATCTGTTTCCTGCGGGGTTCTGTCATCCTTTGTCATGTGCCTTCTCTGGCTCCTTCTCTCTCTCTCTCTCTCTCTCTTTGAAATTTAAATGTTGTCTCTCTCCCTCTCGGGCTGGTTTTCAATATGCTCTTGTATCCCCCTATCTTTGTGAGAAAAACTAGCCTCCGTTTCACTTTCCCCTCTAGGTTTGGCACAAACTTTGTTCCATACAGGCTAAAGCAGGCCCTCCTGCCCATACTGAAAAGCCTCATTACTTTCTACTGGGACTTCCTCAGATTTGGGAATCTGCTTGCACGGATCAGGGCCCATGTTTCCTAATGTGAATTATTGAATATTTTGTCCAGTCCAATTTTGAATATCCCGGTAGAGCTGGTTGGGAATTTTTCATCTTTTTTTCCTAACTCCTTTCATTTTAATCAAACACTAGGAGCAGGTGAGAGGGGTTTGCAGGGTTTCCCTGGAAAAGCAGGGCCTCAAGGGACAAGAGGAAATCAAGGACCACGAGGCGAGAAAGGACAAAAGGGAGAAAATGCAAGTGAGAAGTCAACTCCCCCTCTCTCAGGTATTCTGCTCAATATCTGTTGTCATGTTTTCACAGAGACATTCGGTAGGCTCATGGCAATGTCTTATGTTTTTATATCATTATTTGGGGGTGGAGGAGGGAAAGTTTGGGGAAAATGAATGGTAATCAACATGACACGAACACTATATAAGAGAACAAGGAAAAAAACCTAAGCAATATGGAAATATTTCCTGAAACATGTTCACTTGACTGACCTTGGAGTATGAGGAAATCCGAGGGAGGGGGAAAGGTATTTTATCTCCTCCTCTTTTAAGATAATTGATATCTTTTCCCTTTTATGCCTCTTTGAATGCCTGTTTTCTCCTTGCTTTCCATCTTTGGGTGCCTCTAGGGGACATGCCTTTTTTTCTCATTCGTGGACTAAATTCAGGCGGTCCTGATGACTCGTCACCCACACAATCAGCATAAGCAAGGATTTAGCTGTGAACACAGTTGTTACTCTGCAGAAATGCACTATAAACCCCATTCTAACTAGAAAAAAAAGGCAATCCCTATGGATCTCCCACCCACACACTGATGACTGCCTCTGATTACATGGAAGTGGTGACCACTGACAGAGAGAAAATCCCCCGTTTGATTTCTGTGCGTGTAGCAGTACCCAGTTTGAAATTACCTTTGAGTTCCTCGTGAAACAATCAAAATTGTCATTTTTAAACCTGGGTGAAATTTTTGATCCAAAACTTTTTTCAATGCAAAATGCAGATATGAGTCCAGCAAAATGTTTTGCAAATCTGTGTGAAACAAACAAATTCTGAAAAGCCGGAAATGTTTTATGTTGACACTTTTTCAGTGAAAGTTTTATTTTTTTTATTCAAAATTACATTTTGTTTCAAAGTTTCCTTCAAGTTCATTAAAAATGTTAAAAGCTCAAATCCAAAATAACACATTTTCGTAATGTGGGAGAGGGGGAATATTTATTTGTTTGATTGCTTTTTTGTTGTTCTTGTTTGATTTCAAATCTGCCAGCAAACAAAATAATCAGTGAGCACGTAGCTATAGCTGTGTGGTGAATATTTTGGGAACTGGTTAGAAGATCATACAAACCACGCATATGTTAGCAGCGAGGCCCCTGGCCAATCCAAAGGCAATGATCATATGGTATTTTTTAATGATTTATTACATAATTTTGCACCTGTTTTTCTTAGCTTTTGATGCTCTTCAAAGACAAGTATCTGCTTTGGAAAAGAACATCCAGACTCTACAAGCTGACATTAGCAAATTCCAAAATAGTGAGTCATGTTTACATTACAGGCAGTCCCCGGGTTATGTACAAGATAGGGACTGTAGGTTTGTTCTTAAGTTGAATTTGTATGTAAGTCGGAACTGGTACATATTGTAGGGGAAACTCTAGCCAAACATTTCTCCAGAGCTCAGTTTTATTCTCCCACACCTCACTTCCCTCAGTCCTTTATTTTCAAGCTGAGGTGTCTGCTGAGAAAAGCCACTCTGCGTCTCTCTGGTCTGCTGGGGGGGACGCTAGCTTCGTGTCTCCCTGGTCTGCTGGGGGGAAGCAGCTAGTGCGGGGTTGCCTCACCCCGTTTGTAAGTAGGGATCCGATGTAAGTCGGATCAATGTAACCCGGGGACTGCCTGTATTGAATTTTTGGCATGCGGGGGAGGGAGAATCTTTTGCAAAGTAAGCTTAAATACCATGCAGCCTTCTCCCACAAGCTGCTCCCAGCAAATGGTCTTCAGTTGCAACCTCCCTCAACAGTATAAATTCTTCCCAGTCCCAGCCATACCAACATCCAGTTATCACTAAATCATTCCCAGACATTGTCCGTGGGCTTTGTTATATAGGCCAACAGCCACACAAGCCATCTCCCAAGACCCTCTTCTATGATAACTTCTTTCTAAAAATTTCCCACCAATGCACAACTACTAGCTCGTCTCCACTGGTACTAGCAGTGAGGGAAACACTAGTGCATAGAATCCTAGACATCATTATTGTAGGGGCATCCAGGGTGAAAGGGCACAGTTGGTTGCTTAGAGGGAGTTGTTTTTAGTCATCTAAGCCTGCTTAGAGCAGATAGAGTGAATAACGTGTAAGTTCCTGTCTTCACTAGCACTGCCACCATTTATGCTGGGGATGAATCTTCCCCCATTTTAGTACATGAGAGGGAAGTGTTACTGCGTGTTCATCTCTCTTTCTCTGTAGTACAATTTTCTCACTTGGTCTTTGAGTCTCCATTTATTTTGGTCCTCAAAGTCATTCATGAAGCCAGCTAGCTGCAGTTTTAATTCTGAATAGTTGCTGCTAGCACAGTTTCACCTGTAACACTGGCAGAAGCCACATTGTAAAAGTGGTTTATTACTTACAAAGTGCAAGGCCATGAGCTAGCATTTTGTGAGTAAAGTCTTACAGGGAGGTTAACTTCCCCCATAACACAGGTCCGGTTCTCATTTTAATCGTCTCTTTTGTGCCTAGTTTTTAATTTGCGGTGGGCTAAGATTGTAGGCAAGAAAATATTTGTGTCAACGGGCACAAAAGCTTCTTTTCAACATGGAAAATCCCTGTGCGCAAAAGCTGGAGGCTCGCTTTCCTGCCCACGCAATGAAGCTGAGAATGCAGCCTTGAAAGAAGTCGTGAAGACGGAATCAAACCCCTGTGCGCAAAAGCTGGAGGCTCGCTTCCCTGTCCGCGCAATGAAGCTGAGAATGCAGCCTTGCAAGAAGTCATGAAGAAGGAATCAAACGGAGCGTATTTAGGGTTGACTGATATGCAAACCGAAGGTAAATTTGTGTATCTGAATGGAGAACCTGTAGCTTACACAAACTGGAACAGTGGAGAACCAAATGATCAAGATAATGAAGACTGTGTCTTAATATACGACGATGGAAAATGGAATGACCTGGATTGTTCAACTGCAGAAATATTAATTATTTGTGAATTTTAATCTTTTTCTACACTTAGTTCTGTGGCATTCCCAAGTCTGTTTAAAACAATCAAAATGCTCCCATTGACTTACTAGGTACAGCTGAATAAATAATGGATTTTTCAGTTCAGCGACTATACTGAAAAATCTGCGATAGGTAAAGAGTTACATTCAAGCTGATACAATGTTATTGTTGTTTTCAAAATTTTCCATCTCATTGTAAAACTTGAAAAAAAATGTAGCATTGATCATCATGTTTTGAGGAACTTACAACAATTTTGTTTTCAAATTTTTTATTGTAATATGATCAATGTCTGGTACTTTTCACCCTTTTTTATAATTGCTCAAATTTGAATTTAAAATGCCATTTTGAAACAAAATGTCAAACCAAAACATTTCAAAATAATCAAACCAAAAAGGTTTCAACTTTTTTAAAAAAGTGGTTTTTAACCATTTGTCAGATTTCACTCACATTCTCAAATAGTTTTGGACCACTGGCCTTTTCGACGGAAATTGTTTGCTGGAATTCACCCAGATCTATTAATGGGTTTTTGGTTCACAAAGTTATACAGGCTGTAAAAGATCCAGAACTGCAGATCACAACTGGATGGCAAAGGGCTGCAAAGGTGATAACATTGCCAGTGTCAGGCATGAGGAAAATGTATTCAGAAGATGGGGAGGGTGTTGAATATCTCTAGTTTTTCTTGTGCAAATACTGTGCCATCAAGGATGATGCCCTGTATAGTTAGTTATTCTTTCTCATGCTCCTGTACTCACCTGAAGTATTGTCACTGCCTGGCTGCCCTGCACTGGAAGAAATGCTTTTTTCTTTGTCATGCTTTCTGGTTTGGATGACCATGTACCAAAGCAGCCACTCAACCACATAGGGAGTGACTGTGCAACATTGCTTGCTTTGTGCTCAAGCAGAAAAGCTTCTCGTATGCTCACATAAACTGGAAATGGTCACTGTTTATTCCAGGGCTGGGCAAAATACAGGAGAGGAGAAGGAGAGGGAGGCTTTGTGCACTCTCCCCACCCCTAGACCAATCCTCAGTTCTTATTGGCCAGAAACAATCAGCCAATAAGAACGGACTTCCACCAATCTCTAAGCTCCTATTGGCTGAAAACAGCCAGCCAATTGGAGCTGAGTGATTGAGGCAGTGCAAGTCTCTTTCCCATGCCAAGTTGAGAGCCACATGGAGGGAGCAGCCTGTATTTTCAAGTGGGCTAGGGCTGCAGCAGGCAGGGAGCCCAGCCTGCCTTGGGGGTGCAGCAGCCTTCTGGCCAGGAGACACTTAGATAAACTCCTCCCAGCCAGCACCTGCCTCTGGCACCCCAACCCCTCCTGCACCCCAACTCCCTCCCCCAAATCACCATCTAAACACTCTGCACCCCCTGCCCCAGGTGACAACTCCCTCCCAAACTCTGTACTCCCTTCTATACCCCCAGCAACTCCCTCCCAAACTCTGTACTCCCTCCTATACCCCCAGAGCTCTCCTGCACCCACACTCCCTCCCTGACCCTACACACCGATCTCCTGACCCAGGTCACAACTCCCTCCTCCACCCAAACACTCTCTCAGACCCTACACCATCTCCTGAACCCCAGTCCCTTTCCCTGTGCATCCTTCTGCACCCAACCTCCAATCTAGACCCCTCTCCCCCTCCACAGAAAAATGCAGCCCTTGACCACTTTCTAAAACTTTGGAATGCCCCCCCACCACCAAAAATTATTGCCCACCCCTGGTTTATTCTGAACTGTTCTGTGCACATCCTGCTAAAGAGAGCACCAAGTAACCAAAACCAGCAGCTTGATAGTTATTTTCTCCATGCCATCTGGAGAGTCAGCCTAGAATTCCCTAATGAAAACTTAAAGCTAATTGTTCTTACATTAGGAATTAAGTTGCATTACGTATAAAAACACTAATGCTAATGAGCTGGTTTGCTGCTGGTTGATGTACCTTTATCAGGGCATCTGTGTAAATCAGCATAATAATGAGCCAACATCCCTTGGTTGTTCTCTCTAGGAACAGTCACAGTCCCTCACACCCACCCCTCCTTTCAGCTGGCTGACAGCAAGCAGCAGTTCAGCCCCTGCTTACACTTGGTATAGGAACAGTCACAGTCCCTAGCATAGAGTTAAGATGCAAGCTTGGTGCAGTCTCACTACATCTTGCTATTAGTACATTCTTGTCCCTTTGGTGTGCAAACAACTGGCAGTGCATAATGTCCATGGGCCTATGTGATTTCAGCCTGCAGTGATAACATGGCTCCTAATGTGTGTTTACTCTATTATTAAAATGAACTGCATTAATTGTCAGATAGAAGCTTGAATGCTGTTATGGCCTATGGACATTTGTGCTCCATGAAAAAAAAAATTAACATGCACAGCATTCCTGGAGAATTAGCCATTTTCATAATTTACCATGCAGCTAGAGAAAACTGCAACATGCTATAAGATAGATATTAAGCGGTGTGGCTGATTAAAAGAATAAACTATTAAACTATATTTAACCGTGTCCTATGTATAATCAGAATTACAATCCAAAAAGAAAATGCTTTTTTTAATCATCTATAGCTTAACAAGCATTCGAATGCAACAGGCTCTCAATGTTTGATAAATTATATCCAAATGCATGTCTCCCTCATAATCTCTCAAAATGGGCCTAAACATGACTTAAGTGACTCATGGATTATTGCTGGTTCTCTGTAAAGAGGAAACTTTCACCCCGTATGCACTGTAACAAGGTGACCACATCTCACACTGGATTACACAGAGCAGAAGTTATTTTCCTGAAAAGGGCGCCACACTGAAGACTTTGTCACTCCCTATCAAACTTCCTAGGTTTGGTAATTAAGGAAAATGTTTCCATCTGGGCATGAAAATGGACCAGCTTTTGGTCTTGACCAGAGAAAAGCAGGAATTGTCCAGCTCTTCCTCCCTCTAGTCTGAGGACACATCAGAGCTAAGCAAACCTCAGAACTGAGAGCTCACGGGGGCTGGAATGCAGACTACTGCAGTCCTGTCAAGGGACTGTACCATTGGACTGAGTCTCACAGCTATGGTGTTAGGTTTTTCATTATTTGTCTTAGGAACAGACAAGCCAACTTGTGTAGGAAGGGTGAAGAGCATGTTTGGATCTGGAGCATGTGACTGCTTCACAGCATGTAGTTAGATGAAGAGCACATGCTCTCCTATGTATTAGTGGTTCTTCTTGAAAGTGAAGAATGGGCACCCTTGCAGCCATAATGGAAGGACTTGCTGAAGCCTCGCACTGTGTTTGACTGGTGTGGTTTTCTGTTTGGACTCGTGCGCCCTGGAAGGGGGTACACTTTACTTTGGCTTGAGAGAATGGTCCTTCCAGCGGAAGAAGACTGTACCATCAGCAACAGGACACTGAGGAGATCCGGCTGTTGAAGAGATAAGACAAACCTGTACCGCTCAAAATGCCATTCTTATCTCTTGACTTATCGTACAATAGTTCTGAACGTACAGCTGTCCAAGCTACATCATTAGCCTGGCAGCCAACACTGAAATCCCCCACACCTTGGACTCGTGCGCCCTGGAAGGGGGTACACTTTACTTTGGCTTGAGAGAATGGTCCTTCCAGCAGAAGACTGTACCATCAGCAACAGGACACTGAGGAGATCCGGCTGTTGAAGAGATAAGACAAACCTGTACCGCTCAAAATGCCATTCTTATCTCTTGACTTATCGTACAATAGTTCTGAACGTACAGCTGTCCAAGCTACATCATTAGCCTGGCAGCCAACACTGAAATCCCCCACACCATGAAGAAATTCAGATGGCACCTACTATATTCCTTTCCCTGATCCTGATTCTCCAAGGTGCTGAAAACCTGTATTTCCAACAGAAATCAGTAGGAGATATGGGTGCTCAGGCACTCAGAAAATCAAGCTCTAGGTCGCCTATTCAGCAAAGCACTGAAGCAACTGCTTAAGTGTTTTTCTGAATCAGGGTCACATCCTAACAAACAGAAATAGCCCCCCTGACTTCTCTTATCCTTTCAACAGGCCTACTCCCAATCACTTGATAGTGTTTATAAGACTCGACCCTTAATTTTTCCCTCTTCTTCAGGCAAAATCCTCTAGTAAAATCCTTCTGGGAATCTGGATACATACACTTGTACCAATTCATGCCAACCAACTTCACTCCACTCCTGTTGTCCCCTTACCACTAGGTGGCACTAAAACACATACCATGTACATGCAAAACCATGTAAGAACTCCTTGTCCCAAACCAGTCCACCAGAAAGGAAAGGCCAACTAGAGGATTCTGTCAGGAAGAAATTTGAATTTGAATTATCTTTTCATTTGTTCTGCCAATTGGCAGATAATCAGCCCTTTGGAAGCCTAAGAGTTTATTAACCACTCAAAATGTATAAGTGTTTGAGTTACAAAACTCATTGAAATGTACAAAGCCTGTTCCCCTCAAAAGCAGTATTACTCACCCCAAGCTTTCAAAAATCATGAGTCGGGAACCAAAAATGTATCAAATTAGCTTTAAAATTAGTTTTTTACACATTTCTTTGAGGGTTGTCTTTATTTGCCTCCTGGGTTATGAGCCTTTCAGATTAATATTTTCAACCTTTTCTCTGTAGACCATGAGGGCGAGAGAACCTTTTTCTACTTTAAGAGATGAGCCTCACATCATTGTCTGGGGCAAGAGTTGTCAACTTTCTAATCTCACAAACCTGAATGCCCTTCCACTGCCCTCTGACCCGTCCCCTCTGGAAGGCCACACACTGCTTTGCCCCTTCTTCGAGGTCCCACCCCCTCAATATCTCTCCCCTCCCTCCATCACTCATTCTTCCCCACACTCATTCACTTTCACTGGATTGGAGCTTGAAGCTGGGGTGTGGACAATGGTGAGGACTCTTGCTGAGGGTGCAGGCTCCAGGTTAGGTCCAGAAATGAGAGTTTCGGGAGGTGGGAGAGGACAGGGGGTTCAGGAAGGGGTCAGGGCTGCATCTGAGGCTGCAGATTATGGGGTGGGCCTGGGGATGAGGAGTTTGGAGTGCAAGAGAAGGCTACGGGCTGGGGCAGGGAGTTGAAATACAAGACAGAGTGAGGGATGTGGGCTTCGGTTGGGTGGTGCTGACAGTGAGCAGATTCCTGAAAGGAGCAGTATGTCCCTCCAGCTCTTACGCTGAGGGATGGCCAGGTGTCTCTCTGTGTTGACCCTGTCTGCAGGCACTGTCCCTGCAGCTCTCCCATTGGCTGGGACCTGTGGCCAATGGGAGTTGCAGACTCATTGCTCAACTCGGGGCAACACACAGACCCAATGGCTTCCTCTATGTCTAAAAAACGGCCATGACAGCTGCTTCCAGGAGTCACATGTAGCCAAGGCAGGTAGGGAGCCCAGATTAACCCCGCTGCCCTGCCGACCAGATAGTTATTAGCTATCAATGCTGATTCAGGAGTCGGGAAGGGTCGGCAACCTTAGCTGGGACCTTAGGAAAAACTTAAAATAGCATGAGACCGAGCAATACTGCGTAGTGTAACACTCTTTTTTTCCAGGATGACACAGTAGGAAAAATGAAGGACACGTGTGTTCCCAGCTGAAACAATCCTTATATCACACTTAAGGAACAGAATCAAAACCCAACAATTAACCTGATACAAGCTGGCCCTTGTCAGTTGATTTCCATGTAAAAGGTGTCCTATTAGAGTTACATTAAGATACAAATGTATATCTGTCCAATTTAATAAATAGGCACATTTGTATGTTTTTCCCCTAATGCTGTTTTAGAATATGCATTGTGTCTAGACCACTCCACTCCGGGCCTTTTGGTATATTCGATAGACTAGAAAGAGAATGAGAGAATACTAGATTTCCTCGCTGCAAATGCTGGGTCCAAAAAACAGAGGTAGAGAGGCCAGGCATGAAAGAGAAAGAGACAGAGAATGAAAATGCAAATTATTGCTAAAAATTTGTGTTGTGTCAGGGAAACAAAATTGACTAATGCGGGCAAAATAAAGTTGTTGAAAATGTTGAGCAACATTTTTTTTAGCAGTAACCTACTTTCCCTGACGTCTAAATTCACTGTTCTGGGGCAATCCTATCTTCTTCCAGGATACAGTAACATGTGGTAGTCATGTTATATCCTCCGTACTATGACTAGTGATTTTTTTTCTCACAGACTAGGCCACAAGGAGTCACATTACAGCAGTAGAAAGGCAATTATTGGAACTGGAGAAGAATTTGCATTTTCTAGAACATACAGCAGATCTGCAGTATATTTTCCTTGTCTTCACTGCCAACACATCTCTGTAATTTTCAAGTGAAATGTGTTCCTTTTCTTTGT